GCGTACCTTTTGGAGTCTTCTGGTCAATGCAAGGAAGGCTTCTTCTACCAACTCCCCTTCCAAGTCAAGCGACCCGGTCTTCTTCTTCTTGCCCCCTTTAGAACTCTTATGGGAGCCCTTCCTTTTCTGGCCCTTAGCACGGGAAGAAGAATGGCTGGCCTCCTTGGGCTTGGATTCAACCCGGTCGCCTTCGGAGAAATGGAGGGCTGAGGGTGACTTCACCTGTTTGTCTCGAATGAGATCGTCAAAGGAAGAGCACCGAGCAGTTGAGGCCCCTTCAACTCCAATGTTTTGAGGAGGGGAGGGAGGGTTGCGATTGGGAGACCGGTTGGAATGGAGGACTTGGACATCATCGTCGTCATCTTCAATGATGGTGGTCATCCTGTTGAAATTCATGTCTGAAAAAGAACAAAGCAACTAATAACCGGTTAGTTCTTAAGCCTTGTACATAAATAGGGAAAATGAAAGTAAGAAGCTTAAGAGAAGATGATCGACCTGGACGAGGAGAACTGGCCTCAGCATGACCATCCGGGGAGTTTGCCCAGTCATCTTCTGCGTCATGGGTCGCAGATTCACCCCCATCCGGGTTAGGTAACCGGTATACCCATCCACCATAGGCGTATGGCTTACCGGTCACAGGATCACCCTTGAGAAGTTTCTCGCAGGCATCTTCAAGCTCAGGGGTAGGCTCCGGGTGAACCCTTTTAGGTTTTATTACCCGGTCAGCCCACTCAGGGTTAGTGAAAGGAAATTGGTCAGATGGAAACTCAATAAAAACGAATCTTTGTTTCCATCTCTTATGGCTGGGGGGAAGACCGGTCACAAACCCCCTCTTATTGCGGGAATGGAAATAGACAAAGCCCGGGCAGTTACTAGTCCCGGGCAAGACTTCGTACATGTGGAGAAAAAGCTCAAGGGAAGGGTCGATTTTCAAATTTTCACATATATTTACAAAACAATTCAAAAACCGGTGAGCATTTGGAGTAAGCTGGCCGGGAAGAATCTTGAACTTGTTACAGATTTCTACGAGGAGGGGGCGGAGAGGAAAAATAATACCTCCCTCCAGAGACGCAATATGGAAACCCAACCAGGTTCCCTGGTGGGGTTCAATGATGTTGGGCCAGGTGGTTGTGGAAAGGACTTTGTAGCCCGGTGGGAGGATGGTACGGACCTCGGCCAGAACCTTTTTGGTGACCCTAGAGGACTCTTTGAACACCGGTCTGACATCAAGGGATAGGAAGCCCAAGGATCCCAGTCGTTCCTCCCATTGCTCCCAGCTAAGGACCTTGGGATTGAATCGACCCGGCAGTTGATTCAAAGGGACAGGGTCCTGGGCAATTATTTCCCGGGCCTGAGAATTAGATTGGTGAGAGGGGCAGCGAATCAAAGGAGTGACAGGGGGAGAAGAAGACTCAGATGAGAAAGAGGGTTGAGAACCCGATCCATAAGATTGACCGGATACATTTTGTGAGTTAGAGGAAGACATGACTTCAGCCTACCGGTCAAAAATGGAAAGATGGAAGAATTAAAAGACTAGGAGGACTGGAGGACTTACTTGGCAGAAGGCTAGAGAGAGAAAGTAGACCGGTTAAAACTTGAGGAGCGAAGAAGAGAAGTGAAGAAATGAGATGGGTTGGAGGAGTATTTATAGGAGAGAGAGAGGCGGTTTGGAGCTCGAGGCGACAGGTGGGAGAAGGAGCGCCTGACACGTGGAAGAGGTTATGATTAGGAGGGAAAATTTGAATTTTGAATGTGGAAGGTGAGAGGTTTTGGGGGGAAATTCCAAAAATAAAAAGCCAGGCTCAACGTTTGGACTCCCACAAATCCAAACGGACAGGTCATGCAGCGTAGTCTACAAATCCAAAAGTGCCAGGTCTGGTATGAAGACGGTGAATCCAAGAAATGGGCAGGTCTCCACGGAAAGGTCATGGGAATGGCTTGACAATTTCAAAGAAGGACAGGACAGGTCTTGAAAAAGAAAGGTTTGGCAATCCAGAAAAAGACAGGTCTTTAAAGAAAAAGGTATGATAATTACAAAAGTGACGGGTCTAAAAGGACAGGTCAACAAGAAGGACAGGTCATGGGAATGACTTGATAATTTAGAAGAAGGATAGGTCATGGGAATGACTTGATGATTTCAAAGAAGGACAGGTCATGGGAATGACTTGATAATTTCAAAGAAGGACGGGTCATGGGAATGACTTGGTAATTTCAAAGAAGGACAGGTCTTGAGAATGACTTGATGATTTCAAAAGTGATAGATCAACATAAGTATATTTCCCGCCCTTGATGACTTCCTCACAAGGCCGGTAAGTGGAGGACTTCTTGATGGGTATATCCTTATACCCGACCCGGACAACCGAAAGGGACAGGTCAAAATATGACCGGTCACTTTTATCAATCACCAAATGAGGTTAACTCTTCGATTGGGACGGGTCAAAATTTGACCGGTCACTTCCACTAAAAAAGTGACCGGTCACATTTTGGGCGATAGCCAAAATGTCGCCTAATGTTACAAAGGACATTCTAGAAGACCAGAGACGGGTTGAGCACAAAGAATGACCGGGTAACTTTTGAGAGAAGGTGACCGGTCATATCACTTTACTTGGCTAACATTGGTTCAGTCTCTTAGGCATGGTGAACCACGTCAGAGGTCAAGGGGACACCCCGCCGCTCATCCATCACGAGGCACACAGTGAAAGGGATGTTTGTCATTTTGCAGGGTTGATTGGATTGAGAATATCCATTTTAGTCTTTGATTGAACAGTACATGTCTTGGCTTATAGTTGCTAAATTCTATGATTGTACAGTGCTTCCATTATCTACAGTGACCTTCCCACGAGCTTCCTATTTTGTCCATGGATGAACAGGGGA